TCCTCCCCCTCTCCTCCTCCCTTCCTCCCTCATTCCTCTTCTTAAATTTAAACTTAGCTCTTCACGTGACCCGCTCGTTCTAAATTTAGTTCCAGCCGAGCCAGAAACGCACATCCGGTACGCCCACGCCCACAGCGACGTCACACGCCCACCACGGACATGCCCATACCCCACGCCCTTCATACGTCCTCCTCCTCCCCCCATCCCCCTCGCTCCCTTCCCCTCTTACGCCCCCCACCCCCTCCCTCCCTCCTGGTGTTCTCAAACCACCTGGCTTGCGTCGGTCTCCCCTCTCTCTTTTCTCTCTCTCTCTCTCACTCTTTTCTTTCTTTCTTCTTTTTGTGTCTCTTCATTCTCTCTCTCTCTTTCTCTTTCTTTCTTCTTTTCGTGTCTCTTCATTCTCTCTCACTCTTTCTCTTTTTTTCTTCTCTTTGTGTCTCTTCATTCTCTCTCTCTCTTTCTTTTTCTTTCTTCTCTTTGTATGTATGTATCTAGCTATCGATGTATCTGTTTTCCTTTCTAAACTTTCTTTGTATGTATGTATCTAGCTATCGATGTATCTGTTTTCCTTTTTAAACTTTCTTCTCTTCTCTCTCCTCTACCCTCTCCCATCTCCCCTGTACTCTCCTCCCTCTCTTCTCTCCTCTCTCCTGTCTCCCCTCTCCTCTCTCCTTCTCCTCTCTCCTCTCTCCTCTCTTCCCTCTCCCACCGCTCACCACACCCCTCCTCCCTCTCCCCCTCTCCCTTTTCCCCTCCCCTCTCCCCTCCCCCTCTCTCCCCACTCACCAAACCCCTCCTCCCCCCTCCCCTTCCCCCTCTCCCGTTTCCCCTCCCCTTTCCCCTCTCCCCTCTCCTCTCTCCCCTCTCCCCTCTCCTCTCTCTCACCGCTCACCACACCCCTCCTCCCTCTCCCCCTCTCCCTTTTCCACTCCCCCTCCCCTCTCCCCCTCACCTCCCCCCCCTCTCTCTCTCTCTCTCGCCAACCCTCCCTCAGACCACCTGGCGCCATCTGCACAAAACACCTCCACCAGCTGAATCATACCCAGCTGCACGCACTAGTTTGTGAGGAAAACACGAGGCTTATATTTTTTCAAAGTATTTTTTTGTTCTTGTTTTATTTTTGTCTTTGTCTATTTCTAGTTTTTTTTTCATTTATTTATTTATTTTCTTTATTTTCCTTCGATTTTTTTTCATTGTTTCTTTACTTCTCATTCTGTTTGTTTGTTTGTTGGTTGATTTTGTGATTTCATTTTTTATTTCGTTTTCTCGATTTCTTTATTTCTCTTTCTTCTTCTGTTCATTCTGGTTTTATTTTCATTTCTGATTCTTTTCTTCTTTCTTTATTTCTTTTTTCCCTACTTCTTGACTTTTACCTTTTACCTTTTCTTTCTTTCTTTTCTTCCCTTTCTTTATCTTTGTTATCTGCCATTCCCTTGTCTTCTTAGATTTATCACATTTTTTTTCCCCACATGTCCTGTGTATTATATCAGAGCACGTTCACACACACCTGTCTCTATCTATCTCCACAGGTGTACACAAAAATATACACATATGTATGCGTGCACACATTCACACGTGCACGAATCTTATACGTACATTTAGGATATGTATGCAAAATTCATATGTGTATACATGTATGTGTATATACATGGAAGCATAAATATGCATATCAGTATTCATGATATGTACACACGCACTTACACAATTATATACATACATACACGCTCAAACACAACAAAGACATGACACAAATACGCACATAAACACGCTCACAATCATGCACACACATAGACAGGCGCACATACTCCCCCCCCCACACACACACGCACATACATGTACAAACATACACACACAACACACACACACACACACACACACACACACACACACACACACACACACACACATACACACACAATTGCCCACGCACACCCACTCTTCTTTCCCTTTCCCTACAGATGGCACTCGGCCTGGCACAGGTGTTATAAAACAAATACGCACCTGTGAAAGACAGAGAGAGAGAGAGAGAGAGAGTGAGAGAGAGAGAGAGAGAGAGAGAGAGAGAGAGAGAGAGAGAGAGAGAGAGAGAGAGAGAGAGAGAGAGAGAGAGAGAGAGAGAGAGAGAGAGAGAGAGAGAGAGAGAGAGAGAGAGAGAGAGAAGAGAGAGAGAGAGAGAGAGAGAGAGAGAGAGAGAGAGAAGAGAGAGAGAGAGAGAGAGAGAGAGAGAGAGAGAGAGAGAGAGAGAGAGAGAGAGAGAGAGAGAGAGAGAGAGAGAGAGGGAGTCAAGAGGCAGCTGCAAATGTGAAATAGAAAAATGGGGGTAGAGAAAGAGGAGAACGAGGAGAGGAAAAGGAGGCAAAGAAAGACGATAAGAAAGGGAAGATTATATGTTTTTTTCTTGCTTAAAACTAGAATAAATAATTAAATGAATAGATAAAGCGTGAGGAAACGAGGGAAAGAGAGAGATGACAAGAAGGGGAAAAAATGGTATTTCAATATT